CCCCAAAGCCTTGCAACGGATTTCGACACTTCCGTCGAAAGCCGTTGCAGACCCCTGGCCGCCCAAGACAGGCCCAAGACACCGCCTGAGAGGCCCTAAGAAGAGCGCTCCGACAACGCCTCGCGAGCGCCCCAAAGCCTTGCAACGGATTTCGACAATTCCGTCGAAAGCCGTTGCAGACCCCTGGCCGCCCAAGACAGGCCCAAGACACGGCCTGAGAGGCCCAAGAGCGCCCCCGCAGCATCCCAAGGAGCGTCCCAAAAGCCTTGCAACGGATTTCGACAATTCCGCCGAAAGCCGTTGCAGACCCCCACGCAGGTACCTAAGAGGCCCCCAAGAGGTTTCCCAAGACCCCCAACATACATCTCACGGTGACGGGTTGGGCCGAAGGCCTGAAGATAAATTTGTGATCTATTCGTTTCATTCCGTCTGCAAGGCACATGATCATCTGGCGCATTTTTTTTCCTCGGGCAATGCTCTCCAAGCCGCGGTCGCTTGCGGCTGTATGATGATTGAGGACGTGTTTCAACAACGTCTTGAAATCCTCAATGCTTGGCGCTGAAATGTCTTGCCCTGCGCATTTGGCGAGATGAAAGGCACTCTCCCCATGCCGCTTCACATTGCCACGCTTGCAAGAAATCTGCTGATCGCAGGAAGTACACTTCAAAACATAGCGCCCCTCAACGAAATTACATGTAACCCATGGGAACTCTAGCTTCAGCTGTTTCGCCCACCAGACATGACGCCTGGTGCGTCGGGCTGGGCCATCGACGTCCTGAGGTGCACTCTTCATACAATGCTCACCAACAAATATGTTGAACGAAGGTGACAACGGAGGAGGAGGAGGGGGAGGAGGAGAGTGCCTCGTGGGTGCCTCGCGGGGCCTCTTGGGGGCCTCTTGGGGCTTCCTGGTGGCCTGTTGGAGCCCACTTGGGCTGTAAGGGGGCCTCTTGGGCCGTCTTGGGGCCCCTACTGGGCCGTCTTGGAGGCCCCGTGGCGGCGTCTTGGGCCATCTTGAAGCGATCCTATGGGGTCCTCTAATCTTGGGCCTAACGAGTTATTGCTGACCCTGTTCAGCGACCAGTCTCGCATCACACAGCTTCCAGGGCGCACCATTGCTGCGATCATTTTCGCTGGGGCGCAATCGCCCCTCTTCTCTGCACCCCACGGCCCCCAAGAGACTTCAGAATTGCATCCAAGAGACTTCCCCAGAGACCCTCCAGACATACAAGGTGCCTCTGACCCGCAGCCCAGGCACGGCGGCGGGATGGGCCGAATGCCGCCACAAACACCCCCGACCATCATCACCTCTTCAGGGTCAGACCTCGAAGGGGGCGCTTGCGCCAACGTGACGACGAGGGGTGGGGGACGCGCCGTTGGCTTTTTCGGGGGCTTCCGGGGGGCCTCTGGGTCCGGGGATTTCCGGAGGCCTCGAGAGGGGCGGAGAGAACGGCCAGAGAGCGACGCCCGGAGCCGCCAGTCGCCAGGGGGCGGCGGCGGGCAGGGGGGCGGAAGTGGAGACGAGGAGGGGCAGGGGTGAGAGAGGCAAGAAGGGAGGGGAGAAGGGAGGGGAGGAGGGATGGACGGAGGAGTGAGGATGGGAGGAAAAATTACCCCAGTGCGACCCTACCTAGAAGTTGGAGCCCCTAGGAAAACAGCATTAGTTGCTATGCTATGCTATGCCATGCTATGCTGCGCTTTGCTATGCTATGCTGTGTTATGTTATGCTATGTTATGATATGATATGACATGCTATGCTAAGCTATGATATGTCATGCTGCGCTGTGCTATGTTAAACTATGATATGCTATAGTATGCGATGATAAGCTGCGCTATAATATGGTATGATATGATATGCTATGCTATGCAGCGCTATACTATGCTATGCCTGGCTATTATTGGCTATGTTCTGCGACGCTATGCTAATGCAGTGCTGCGCTATGCTAAGCTAAGCTCAGCTAAGCTAACCCTCTAGGCAGAGCCTAGGTAGGGAATTACACCCATGCTAATGGCTGTGCCTTTCCTTGGCTTTGCTTTTGCTTTGCTTTGCTTTGCGTTGCCTGTGCTTTGCTTTGCTGTCGCTGCTGTTGCTTTGCCGTTGCTTTGCTGCTATGCTATGCTATGTTATGCCACGCTGCGCGGTGCTATGCTGTGCTGTGATGTGCTGCGCTATGCTATGCTATGCTATGCTATGCTGCGCTAGGCTGTGCTATGCTGGGCTTTGCTATGATATGCTGTGCTGCGCTGTGCTGCGCTACGCTCTGCTATGCTATGATGTGCTCTGCTATGCTAAAGCTCGGCGAAGCTAAGATGAAGGTAAGCTAAGCTAAGATAAAACTGAGCTAATATTAAGCTACACTGAGCTAATATTCAGCTAAGCTAAGCTAAGATGCAATAAGTTAAGCTAAGATGAGATGAGCAACGCGAAGCTAAGGGAACGTCATTGGGGGAACCGCGGGGCGGATCCTGGGGGAACCGCCCGGGGCGAGGTGCACTGCCCAGCCCCTTTAAGACACAGGGTAAGAACCCGTCTAGGCAGAGCCTGGGTAGGGAAAAAAGAAGAGGGAATGGGAATATTGATGGGAAGTTGTCGTGTTTTTTGTAGCAACTGCAGCAGCACCCATTGCTTCATCCATTGCTGAAGCTCTGGCTTTGAAAAGGTGGTGCTTGCCATGACGAAGGTCGCGAAGCAGAATGCGTAGCAGCATTCTTATGGCAAACCGGACAGCTTAGATCGGCAACGCAGTCTGTGTTCTAGGTAGGATTCGTGAAAGAAAAACAATAGCCTGCCCAGACTCAGAACATGCGCCCATCATGGGTCTCCCAAGAGAGGTCACCTATGGGCGTGATGTACGGGAAGCTGCCCTCCAACACGCGGTTGATCACCCGCTCGTAGTAGGGGTTCTTCGGCTCTCCGTCGCAGGCAAACATGAGAGCAGCCCTGTACGCGCCCCTCCTGGACCAGTAGCCGCACCGCGTGCACATCACGAAGTCACCGTGGTGTCGCGACTGGACCATGACGTGACTCACATGGATATAAAGGACTGCGAAATGCTGCACCCGTGCAGTCACATATGGATTGCTCATTCCATCACACACCGAAACAAGCTCACCATCACACATGCCGAATCTGTAGGGCTGAGGCTGCCGATCTGACTGGGCCGCGTCCACGTCGCCGGTGTGCGGCGCTCCCTTGTCCGATGCATGGTAAAACGTGGGCTGGGCCATGGTGGCCAAGAAAGTAGTCGCCGAGAAAATGATGGGGCCAAAACGGCAACGGTCATCTTGATGATGCTGCTGCTGATGATGATGATGGTTACCATAGTAATGAAGATGGTGATGGTGTTGCCGGTTATGATGTTGATGGACATGATGATGGTGGTGATGACGATTGTGATGTTGACGATGGCGGTGATGTTGATGACGACGGGAATGATTGTGTTTGTACGATGATGATGATGATGATGGTGGTGGTGATGATGATGATGGTTATCATGGTGATGAAGATGGTGAAGATGATGCGTTTTCTGATGTTGCTGAGCATCATGGCGGTGGCGATGACGATGATTATGATGTTGACGATGAGGCAACGGTGATGATGATGACGATGACGGTTACCATAATAATGAAGATGATGATGGCGATGACGCCGACAATAGTTGGGACGATGCGGACGCATTGACTGTTTGCCCGCAAGGGGTAGAACGTGCAGCCACGAGACCCGAAACAGCACACCGGCCAGGAGGGCCCTCACGGGCCCAGGAGCAGGCCCGCAAGGGCCACGGCCAGAAGACCCGACCCCTGGGAACAGCAAGCTGTTTAGGGGCGTTTTACCAGACAGTCAGCTCGAGCTCTGCGTCGAACGATAGTGAACATACCAGAGCGGCGAAGTTTTCACGAGTTGGAGACGGATCACCCATGCACGAACACAGAAAGAGGGATGTAGGCTGGCGCGGCCAGCTCAAGGAACAGCTCTCGTTGCCCGGAACGTGGTGACCAGAGATATCACTTGAGGAGGAGAGGAGGGTTTTTGTTGGGGGATGTATTGGAGTTCTCTTGAAGCTCAAAAGCTGGAAGAAACCAGCGAACACCTATATGAAAGAAGCAAAACTTACATTGCAACATTGTAACCGTAATCGTAACATCTTAAGCTGCAACTTAGACTCGCCAGAAAGCGCCGAGGCGTTCGCTGAGAATCGTAATATCTTTTGCGCCCAAACTTGCAATGCACCGAGCACTTCTCAAGTATGCACCGAGCCCTTTTGGCCAAATCGGAGCAGGCCTCCACTGGGCGCGATAAATCAGCTCCCCTGGCTCCCGCTAAGAAGGACACAGCTTCCCTCCTGGGTTTGCCGCAGATGTTGGAAAGTCCAGACCTTTTTCATCGTGAGTGGTTTGTTGGCAGTCGTGGAGCCTTTCAAGGAGGTGGTTGGGCGGCTGGGGCAAAGGCATGGAGAAAGGAAGGCCCGCCGGGGGGCAAGGAGGAGAAAGAGGGCCCTGCAACATCAACGGACGGCTGCCTGATCAGAGGGAGGGGGGCAGGGAGAGGGAAAAGGAGGAGGAGGCGGAGGAAGAGGAGGAGGAGGGGAAGGGAGGAGCAGGAGGGGAGTGGAAGGGAGACGGCCCCCGAAGGTGAAAATTGGCGAAAACCTTCCGTTGCGCTTTCTCCTCGACGAGGGGAGGTCTGTCGTCGTCGTCATCTTCGTCGTCGTCCTCGACACTGTCCACGCCGCCCTCGCCTACGTCGGATGCCGTCTTGGGGCGCCGGCATCGACGTCGCCGTCTCCACCCCGCCGCCGAGCGACGTCGTCCTCGTCGTCGAACCACGTCGTCGTCGAACAACGTCGTCGGCGGACGACGTCCTCGAACAACGTCGTCGTCCTCACCGTCGGACGACGTTGTCGCCGAGCGACGTCGTCGCCGAGCGACGTCGCCGTGGAACGACGTCGTCGTCGAACGACGTCGTCGTCGTCGTCGCCGCCGCCGTGGGCGGCCCGAGCCTCGCGCGGCGCCGCGGGCGCCCCGTGGCGCGCCCTGCTGGCGGGCGGGTCGGCGCTGTGCCTCCGCGCCCCGGGCGCGGCGGGGGCCTCGTCGGGCGGGGGGCCGTGCGGGGAGGTCCGGCGGGGCACGCGGCGCTGCTTCGACGTGGGCGGCCCGGGAGGGGTCTGGATTTAAGTTGGGCCTCTCGCCCTACAGGGGGATTTTCTACGAAAACTCAAAAATACCCCCCAAAAGGTGAAACAAAAACTACAAAAATAGTCCCCAGACTATTTTTGGACTGTTTATTGATTATTGTGGGGGTATCTTTAATTTGTCGTCGAAAATCCCCCTGTAGGGGGACAGGCCCGACTTACGTCTGGATACCCGCGCAGAGGCCTCCCAGATAGGGTCGGAGGATCGCGCCGCATCGCCGGTTCATCACCGGCGCATCGACAACGCATCCCTCCCGTCCTGACGTCTGTCACGACGCGAGCACGTCGGGGCCCACCCTGATGGCACTCCCTCAAGCACGCCCAAAAGGAGTCCAGCTGCAAGGGGGTGGTGCAATAGATTTGGAACAAAGGAGGTCAAAAAGGGAGTTCAAAAGGGGGTCCAACTGCATCTCCGAATACCAAAATACCTACCTTCAGCGACCGATGGGTAGGGGGCTCTTCCGTTCTTGAGGAACCTCCGCCCCCGAAGGAGAACGGAAAGGGTGAAGCCACTCGGTCATCGAGTAGATTGGCATCTGGGCATCCAAGAAATACCTAACTTCAACGACCGATGGGTAGGGGGCTCTTCCGTTCTTGAATTTGGGTGACCCAAAATGGGGTCCAGCTGAAAGGGGGTGGTGCCATAGATTTGGGACAACCGTATTGCAAGAGCATTGCACCCGAGGACTGTATTGCACTGTATTGCTGCAAGTAATGTGTTGCACGCGAAAGCCCAGCAATACATTTGCGCCCCGGAGCGTATTGCACGCTCCACATGTGTTGCAACCCCACAACATCGATTGCACCAAATCCATTGCACCACCCCCTTGTCCCTGGACCACCTTTTGTGTCAACCCGACTCTCGGGAGGGACCGTTCAGGAAATCCAGTGGTGCACGCGACGTTGCTTCGAGAGTCGTGCGAAGAGCAGGTCTGGATTCGTTGCGTACGGCAGGTTCTTGTCGTGTCGACCCCACCGTTGGCTCCTGACACCGCGGGGATCGTTCAACCTTGAACGATCGGCCGTTTCCGGAACGCTGGAAATTTCAACGATGGGCCGACTCCGGGTCTTCGGCGGCGTTCAACCTGGAACGCCAGCGGCGGGGTCACCGCTGGTCGACACGACGCGAACCTACCGTACGTAGTTGCATACACAGGGTAGCGCGGGCAGGGGAGACGGGCTTGCAGCAGGGCTTCCCAAACTCCGCAGCCGATTTGAGCCTCGGAAGTCCCGTAAGGGGCCGTGCTAGCAGCACGCATTTACTGTACACGCGTTGAGTCCAAGAAAAAGTCCTTGTATACCGCAACAGCGTCATAAACATGATCTTTCGGAGGTCTGTGCCGATTTATTGGCAGGGCTCGAGCTAAACAGTGTTTTTCGTGTTCATGTTCTGGCGTTGTGTTCCTTCGTTATGTCGTCATTCTGCCTCTGCGGCGGAACGAGATCAGAACGAAAACGGCCCACGGAATCGCCAAAACACCGCTCAGCTCAGTTATGGGACCGGAGCTGAACCACCTGTCGCGCGATGCGAGCCAGGGGCGGCGCTGGAGGCACAGCCAGGAGAGCGCGACTCCAAGACATCCGCGCGGCTCTCCGAAAATTGATGCTTACAGCCGGGCTGCTCGAACAAGAAACGATGGCTAATGAACGAAGTCACTGCCTTGCTCTAAAAGCGCCTGCGTGCACGAGGAGGACTAGAGGAGCAGCCATGGAAGGACCCACGAAAAAGCGAGCCCCTTCCGAACCCAAAGCGGTCGTTCCTTATTTCATCGTCTTGGCTGTACTCGGTATTCCTGAAAACGTGTTGCGGTGGGCTTAATAGAAAAGGACACGTACGATATGGAAACCAGCGCCTGAATTCTGGTGGAAAACCAATCGTGGATTGGCCATGGATATCGCCGCCGCCCTGATTAGATGAGAAATCCTCCAGGGACTGATGCCTCCTGGGCACATTCCTGATCGAACGCTCCCACCGTAATGCCAACGTGTGGAGAGGCCTCCCAAATGTGGTCCGACTAGATGGGGTCAGAGGATCGCACCGCATCGCCAATGCATCGACGATGTATTGTCTGCCTCGGCGATGCATCGACGACGTCGGGGTGGAGAACATCGGGCTCCACATCGAGCAGCATCGGCGATGCATCGGCGATACGACGCGATCCTCCGACCCCATCTACTCGGACCCCATCTGGGAGGCCTAGAGTTCGGTCGGGCATGTCCTCCTGTAGGCGGATGTTGGAACGAATCTGAAAAACAGCTCCCCCCCGAAAAGACTCAGACATGTACGAAGCATCGTCACCGTACTTCTGTTTTTACTGTTCTTGAGCATCCCTCCTGCAGAAGGGGCTTGCCCAACGTAAGTGAAGGGGCCCTGGGACACACAAATAAATCCACACAAATAAAATAATTCCCTATATGTTCCCATGTGTTCTGGGTCTCTGTCTTCCCCCCCACTTCCCATATTTTCGCACATTTTCCTGGGGATCGACGATTCATCGTGTCTGTGTGTGTTTTCCCCTCCCGAGTAAGCCCCGGGAGCGCGCGCGCCCACACGACGCACCCCCCCACGACGCGCGCGGTGCCGGGAGGGCCGAGACGGGCGGCGTGCGGCCGGGGGAGCCGGGCGGGGCAGGCGCACGCCGGGCCAGCACGCGCCCCGAGGCCCATCGGCAGGCGAGCGCGTGCCACTGCTCTCGGGAGCGGCCAAAAGAGGGGGGTGTCCAAGAGGGGGGGGTGCAAATCATGCCCGGCGGCACGTGCGCGGCCCAGCGGGGGGGCCAGGGACGTAAAGAAATAAGAAGAGGCGCCACGAGATCTGGGGAAATTTCATGGCCCACGCCATGCTATCCCCCCCCCCCCTAGTCATCGACCCCCTCTCTTCCGCCCCCGATACTCGCGGATGGTCTACTCGCAGATGGCCTGGATCCGCCGCAGGGGGGTTACGACACATTACACAGAGGCAGGCGAAGCGTATGGTTTGTTCGGACGTTTGCGAGCAGGCACTCTGCGAGCAGTGGAACGCGCTCGTCGATCGGCGAGGCGTATGGTTTTTTCGGACGTGTGCGAGCAGGCACTCTGCGAGCAGTGGAAAGGGCGCTCGTCGCTCGTCGGCAGACGCCGGACACCGTCGGACACCCGAAGGACCATCGGGGCGGCCGGGCTGCCCAGGTGCCACGAAAAGGTCGGATCTCTGGGGGCCGGCCTCGGGGCTCGGGAGCGCCAGGCCATGGCAGGGGGCAGGATCGGCCACTCGCAAGAGCGACCTCTGGGTACTCCAGATTTCGTAATAAAAGGGAGGGGGTCTGGACCCTCCAAGACGAGCCATTTCAGACCCCCCCCCCGTGGGAGAACCCTCCAAAGCATCGTCCCCAGACCCCCCCAGGCCCTCCAAGATAGCCTGGAAGAGACCCCCCCCGAAATGAGACCCCCCTCCCTTTATTACGAAATCTGGAGTAAGAGTGACCTCTGGTGCGCGGCCCCCTGGGGCAGCGGGAGGGGGGCCCAAACCAAGGGCGCAAGCCAGTGCGGGGGGGGGGGACCCTTGTTGGCCCGCACCGAAGGTCACGCCGGCGAAGGGTCACTCTTTCGCGCAGCCGATGGAAAGCTGGTTCTGGGACAGGGGTCGGGAGGTCTGGGGACGCACGCATCGACGAGATCGAGGCGTCGGCTGTCTGGGCTCGGGTAAGAGGTAGGGGATTTTCGGATGTCTGGGCTCGGATAGAGGAACAGGATGTTTTCGGAAATCCCCGCTGCCTCTCGGGGACACTCGAACCATGGGGTGCTCGATCGGCTGGGCCTCGCCAGGAGGCGTCCAGCGGGCCGGGGCCCGGGATCGCCGCGGACGGCCACCAGGGGCCCGACTTCTGATCCGACAGCCGACAGGCCTAAGTGCAAGCGTTTCGTACTTCGACTCCCTGCAGCCCGTGGCCCGCGACTGGCCTAAGGACCATCAAACATCGACGGAGGATAACCAGCTGGCGAGAGGTCCAGCCCTCTGGGAGTCGCAAGTCACGACGTCGGCGGAGGTCTGGGGAGAGAGAGCGAGGTAGGTGCGGAGGGGGAAGAGGGGGAGAAGGATGGATCGAAGGGGAGGAGGAAGAGGGAGGGAGGAGGAGAGCGAGGGATGAGAAAGGTGGACCGAGTGAGAGGAGGAGGAGGAGGAGGGAGGAGAAGGGGGGAGAAGAACCACGGATCGAGGGAGAGGAGAGAGGAGGAGGAGTAGGGAGGATGAGCGAGGAGGGGGAGGAGGAGGAGGAGGAGGAGGAGGAGGAGGAGGAGGAGGAGGAGGAGGAGGAGGAGGAGGAGAGGAGGAGGAGGAGGAGGAGGAGGCGGAGGGAGGAGGAGGAGGAGGAGGAGGAGAGGGAGGAGAGAGATTGGATCGAGGGAGCGGAGGAGGAGGGAGAGGAGATGGAGGGAGAGGAGGAGGAGGGTGGCGGCGGGCGGAGGGGCAGCAGGACGGAGGGCGAGCGGGAGGGGGAGCCCTCGGGGAAGCGAGCGGAGGACGAGGAGGCCCCCCCCCCTTCCTCCTGCGCGGCGGGGGCCCTCGACGAGGAGGACGAGGAGGGGGGATCGCGGCAGAGCGGCGGCGAGCAAAGGGGGCGGCGAGCAAGGGGGGGGGGAGCACGAGAAGGAGACGGCCGTCCCAGGAGGGCCCGCCCCTGCCCGCGCCCTCCCCCCTCGGGGCTCGCCGCCGAGAGGGGGGGAGGCAGGCTCGCGGAGAAGGGGGGGGGGGGGCGGCCCAGGGTTCGGGGATCGGGAGAGGGGGGCAGCGAGGAGGAGGAAGAGGAGGAGGAGGGATCCGTGCGGAGGGGAGAGCGAGGAAGAGGGTGGATCCAGGAGGAGGAGGGGGAGGAGGAGGAGGAGGAGGAGGAGGAGGAGGAGGAGGAGGAGGAGGAGGAGGAGGCAAGATCGAGGAAAAGGAGGAAGCAGGGAAGCGGGGGGCTCGAGGCAGAGCGAGGGTTCGAGTCCCGAGGCTTCCGGGCATCTGAGACTCCGTCGACCCTCCCCCCGAACATTCCTGGCCGAAGCGTGCCCCTGGAAAGGTCAGGAGCTCAAACGTCCCGAAACCACTGGTTTACCACTCTTTCTGTGTCGCCGCTCCACTCGTCCTCGACGCGCCCCAGTGGACGACGCCGACACCACGGCAAACCCACGGCAAATCCTGCGCCCCGCGCTCCACGGCACCGCGGCAAACCCCACGGCAGGCCCACCGCCAAGAGTGGTTGGCTGGCCCTAAGAGTGCTACAAAGTCGCCAGATGGCCACGATGCATACAGCCGTTTACAGATCTGCGCTCAACATGGCCAGCACCAACCATTCCAGTGAGCACGGCACGGCAGCACAAAGTATATGAGACCCAGCGCTTGCCGCATAAGGTTGCAATGCCTATTTCGAGACTGCGATATTTAGCTTGCATGTTGGCTCATGCCCCTCCCATCATTCGGGCCCTGGTGGACCTCACCTGGGGGATGTGCGGGGGTGGGCCCAGTTTCTTGTCGGGGATGCTGCATGGCTGCGCTATCGCACTGTTCCAGCAAGGAGGCCTGATGATGTGCCTGCGGATGGTCACCCAAGCAGTGCACGGGGCCCAGCTCAAGGCAGAGCGGGTGCCCAGTGTTGTCGAGGTTCCACCTGGCCCGATTCCTCCTGGCTCCTTTTGCCCGTGTCCTGTGCCCATCCGACACGTCAAGTTTGTTATGCATGTATTCTCTGGGTTTAGAGAAGGCTCCAGGACTTTCAATGGTATTTAGAGGAGTTGCGCTCGCGATTTCCTACTGAGGTGGCTGTCTGGAGCGTGGATGTAGCTAACCACCCTGTTCACGGGGACCTAACAGCACGGAGCACGATACTGTTATGGACATGATTGCTTCGCTCGGGGCGGGTGGCAAACAACTTGGCAGGGTCACCTTGCGAGACTTGGTCGTCCGCGCGTTTCTGGCCAATACCCGCTGAAGCCCCAGGGGGATGGAGACCCCCCTCCCACTTCGCACTGCCAGCCATGTGTATGGAGGTTTGGCCACCTTAACGCTCGGGAGCGTGAAACAACCAGACTCGGCAATGTGCTACTTCGCAGCACTGTAAGGCTACTCTATGAAGCATGGGTCCATGGCATCCCAGCCATCATGAAGCGTCCTCCACCAACCCCCGCGTGCCTGAGGCCCCCATCTCCTGGGCCCTTCCCCAATTGAAACGCCTTGTGGGGCTCATGGGGTTGTGGCCCATGAGATTCACCAAAGCATGTTTGGGGCACGTGTGCTGAAACCTACTACCCTTCTTGCGGTTCATCTTCCTTTCATGATCACCCTTCTGGAGACCAAAGAGGGCCACGGGCGATGCACCCACACTCACCCACACAGGGGTCTGGCGGTGGTTGGAGCTGATGGTTTGCGGCGCACGTCGCACACCACGACCTACCCCTCCCTGTTATGTCAAATTCTTGCGGCTTCGGTCCTACCAAACATTTAAACACGTTTCCGTGAACTGACTCGTTTCCGTGCCTTTCCTGTCTCGCATCCCCAGCTGTTATCAGGCCACCACTGTGTTGGACCCTCGACGACGAGCGAGCGTTAAGGGCGAAGGTGGATCTTGACAGTTGTGACCATGAGTGGGAAGTGCTGGCAGGGTTAGGACGGTTCGCATCCCCACTCGACCCTTATGTGGCCGGGGGTATGGCCATGGACTGCATGTTACACAATCCCAGCAATTATACGGACCCGAGTGTGTGATGCGTGACGGTCTGCTTCTCTTGCTTCCCATCATCTTTCGTGAGTTGCAGAGTTGCGCATGGCTGGCCAACACGAGCTTGATAGGTTTGCGAATGGCCATGCAAGAGGGGATACCGAGCTCAAGAGCTCCGCCAGGCGCGCCACCTTCTTGGCATTCGCTGCATGGTGTGGGTGTTCCACTCTGGAAGCCCGCGGCGCCTTAGGCAGTAACATACCTGTCAAGCATGGGAGAAGGACTCTTCTTTTCCATTCATACTGACATATCCCTTTTCCTTCTCAAGTGCCCATACACTTTAAGCGATAGTACCCCTGTGTTTTCGTAGCCCACGGCCATTGTGGGATCGCGCCTTCTGGCGTTGGCAGTTGCATGTGTCCACTCCCTGTATTGTTTGCTGCTGCCGCTGCTCCGTTCTTCACCCAGTGGTCTTCTCGCCCTCTTCTCTCCATATTGGCGCCGACCTTCCGCCGTTCGACCGACCGACCGACCGAGGTGGAGGATGAGAAGGAGGATAAGGAGGATGAGGAGGAGGAGAAGGGGGAGGAGGAAGGGGGAGGAGGAGGGAGGGAGGAGGAGGATGGAGGAGGATGATGGAGGAGAAGGATGGAGGAGGATGAGGAGGAGGAGGAGGAAGAGGAGGAGAAGCAGGAAGAGGAGGGGAGAGGAGGACGGAACTCTCCGCGCCTCGAAGGCCGCGCCGCTGGGGCTCAGCAGGGGCGCCGGCTTCTTCCGCTCCGGGCGGGGCGGGGCGACGTCCTCGCCGAAGCGCGCGCTGGCGTCCTCTTCGCGGGAGCGCCGGCGGAGGACCGGCGCCCGGGGCCCCTCGCTGGGCAGGCCGTGGGTGCTCAGCAGGGAGGGCGCCTGGCGCCGCTCGGGGCGGGAGGGCGCGGGCTCCTGAGGAGGGGCGCAGGGAGGCACCGAAGGGAGCACGAGGGCCAGGACTGCAACTCTCGTGGCGCACTTCCTGGGTTGGCCTCTTCCGCTCCATGTCCCTCGTTTTCCACAGCTGTGCTCCAGCAATCAACGTTTGTGTGTGTGTGCGTGTACATGTGTAAGCATGCGTGTGCGTATGCGTGTGCGTGTGCGTATGCGTGTGCGTGTGCGTGTGCGTGTGCGTGTGCGTGTGCGTGTGCGTGTGCGTGTCTGTGTCTGTGTCTGTGTCTGTGTCTGTGTCTGTGTTTGTGTTTGTGTTTGTGTCCGTGCCTGTGCCTGTGCCTGTCTCTGTGCCTGTACCAGTGCCTGTGTCTGTGCCTGTGCCTATGTCTGTGTCTCTGTGTCTCTGTGTCTGTGTCTCTATGTCTCTGTGTCTCTGTGTCTCTGTGTCTCTGTCTGTTTGTCCCTCCTGAGTCCTCGCCGACGCGCGCATCAGAGTTAAAACAGGGCTAGGATCGGGATAAATCGCTCCAGAGCGTTCCGGAGCGCTCTCAGAGCGTTCCGGAACGCTCCGGAGCGGCCGCGGCGCCCAATACGTCCTCCAAACCCGCCGATTCTCAGAGATTTCGAGTTATCCCGATCCGATTTTGTCCCGATCTTCGCGTCGTTTTAAGAGTCCGCGTCCTCTTCGCGGGGGCCGCGGCGGTGGAGGGGCGGCACGAGATCCTCGCCGAGGCGCGCATCGTCGTCCGCGTCCTCGTCGCGGGAGCCGCGGCGGTACACCCGGGGCCGGGACGGCCCCTCGCCGGGCGGGCTGTGGGTGCTCAGCAGGGACGGCGCCTGACTCCGATCGCTGAGCGGCGGCGTCGCGACGAGCTCGCTGAGCGGCGTGTCGCCCTCCGCGCCCTCGTCGCGGGAGCCACGGCGGTGCACGGCCAGGAGGTTCGGCCGCGCCTCCGGCCATGGCCACTCCCTCCTCCGTCCTCCCTCCTCCCTCCTCCCTGCACCCCCCTCCATCCTCCCTCCTCCCTGCACCCTGCTCCCTCCTCCCTCCTCCATGCACCCTCCTCCCTCCATTCCTGTTCCTTATGAGCAACCTCTCCCTGTCGTACCCGGCGGCCAGTTTTCAGGGCGGGCCGGGCGTTTCGCCCGAGACTTCGTCACCATTTATGATCCTGACGCTTAAACAATAGTCAATAGTAATAGCTTCACAGATGGAGGGCGGGTCGTTTTCAAAATGTGGTTTCCGCCTTATCGCCGCGCACATTCGTTCATAAGACTTGCAAGAGCTTCACGGGTTGAGGGCGATGGGTTTTCACAATGTTGCTCTCCCCTTAACGGCGCGCACATTCGTTTCCAGAAGTTTGCAAGAATTTCAAAATGTGGCTCTCGCCTTAGCGCCGCGCACACTCGTTTATATAATTTGCAAGGGTTTCACGGATTCTCGTGATTATACCAGACGCGGTGCTTTGGATTCAGGGCTCCACGGGTGCAACAGTTATGTTGACTCGCGGTGTTGAAGGCCCAGGAATGGCGTTCTGGCGCGTATGAGGATCGCCAAGACGCAACAGCCAGGCTGACCCGTGGTGTTCGAATCCCGAGAACAATGTTTTGGCATGCTCTAGGGTCTTCGAACGGTTGTCTTCCAACGAGGCAGTTCGTTCAATGGAAATGAACCGCTGTAGGGACCTGTGAAGAGGAAGCTCGGAGGGAGGGTTTGTTCCAACATCGTGGCTCACTCTTGGGAATTCACTGGTCCCTCCTCCTCCTCCCCCTCCTCCTCCCCCTACACACAGACACATAGACACACAAACACACACAGACACACACTCAGACACACACACACAAACACACACACACACACACGCGCACACACACAGAATCACACACAGACACGGCCGCACACACATCAGACACTTACACAACACACACCACACAACACAGACACAGACACAGACACAGACACAGACGGAAGGCACGGCAGGCGTGGCATTTCCTCGACGCCATAGGGGGTGCGCTGGGGGTGGGGGCGCTGTGCGTTGCATGCTCCTGCTATGCGCTGCATTCTCCCAAGGCGTGGCAGTCGTGGCATTTCCTCGACGCCACAAGGGGGGGCGCTGGGGATGGGGGCGCTATGCGCTGCAGGCTCGCAGGGCGCGGCAGGCGTGGCATTTCCTCGAAGACACAGGGGATGCGCCGGGGATGGGGGCGCTATCCGCCCTGGTCGTCCACGGCACAGCAGGCGTGACAATTTCTTAACCACCTATCATCATCCACGTATGTTGCACGCCAGCTATGCTAAGACAAGAGTTAAAGCGAGGTAGGTGGGGTTCCTCGGTAGCGTAATTGTGGTATGGTTACAGACACACCTCCCTCTTCCCCTCCGCCTCTACATCTCTTCCTCTTCCTCGCTTCACCTGCGCGCAACACATGCCCGGCACGTACATGAGACACGCGTTCTACATACAGCCGCACGCATGCACACACGCACAACACATGCGCTCAAGATCCGCAGGGCGTGGCAGGCGTGGCAAGCGCACTGCATCATACACCCAACACGTATGCGCACAGTTGCCAGGGCATCGCAGGCGTGGCATTTCCTCGACGCCACAAGGGGTGCGCTGGGGGTCGGGGCGCTATGCGTTGCAGGCTCGCAGGGCGAGGCAGGCGTGGCATTCCCGCGACGCCACAGGAGGTGCGTTGGAGGAGGGGGCGCTATGCGCTGCAGGCTCCCAGGGCGTGGCAGGCGTGGTATTTCCTCGGCGCCACAGGAGGTGCGCTGCAGGCTCGCAAGGCACGGCAGGCGTAGCATTTCCTCGACGACACAGGGGGTGCGCTGGGGGTGGGGACGCTATCCGCCCCGGTCGTCCACGGCACAGCATGCGTGGCAACTTCTTGACCACCTATCATCATCCACCGAAGTATGTGGGGTTCCTGTGCGAAAGCAAAAGTTAAACCGAAGTATGTGGTGTTCCTCGGTAGCGTAATAGGGTCATGGTGTCCTTCCCTGCCTCGTCGCACCCGCGTCTCCTTCCACACACACCTCCCCCTTGCCCTCCTCCTCTTCCTCTCCTCCTCTTCCTCGCCTCACCCGCGCGCAACACATGCCCAGCACGTGCATGAGACACGCGTTCTACATACAGCTGCACGCATGCACACACGCACAACACGTGCGCTCAAGATTCGCAGGGCGTGGCAGTCGTGGTAGGCGCACTGCATCATACACCCAAAACATATGCGCACGGTGGCCCAGGGCATCGCAAGCGTGGCACATGATCGACGCCACAGGGGGGGCGCTGGGGGTGGGGGCGCTGTGCGTTGCAGGCTCGCAGGGCGAGGCAGGCTTGGCATTCCCTCGACGCCACAGGGGGTGGGGGGCTATGCGTTGCAGGCTCGCAGGGCGAGGCAGGCGTGGCATTTCCTCGACGCCACAGGGGGTGCGCTGGGGTTGGGGGCGCTATGCGCTGCAGGCTCGCAGGGCGTGGCAGGCGTGGCATCTCATCGGCGCCACAAGGGGTGCGCTGCGGGTGGGGGCGCTATGCGTTGCATGATCCCGCTATGCATTGCACGCTCCCGCTATGCGTTGCTGGCCCCAATTTTCCCAGCCAGCTGGTGGGGTCACAGTGGCGGATAGCCAGTGACGCCCAGGCTTTTGCCCTGTCTGGCCCCCCCTCAGAACACTCAGGTTCCCAAGGCTTGACTAGCGCCACCAACGGTATCGGCGAAGCAACGGCCACCAGCATCATTCTCGCAAGTTTCACGTCAGCTATCACGCCAGACATATTATAAGTATGGGGGGTTCCTCGGTAGCGTAATTCTTCTTCGATGTATGGAAGCGGGGCCAGTCGCTAAACCATGCACCTTCATGCTTGCGCTTCCCCGACACGCAGGGGAGTGCACAACTAAGGATGCCCCCCCAGATGAGCAGCGACAGTCAGCAGATCAGCAGTTCTGCAACGCCACCCTTAGCGAGCCCACAAACAACGTACGGCAGGTTCGTGTCGTGCCGACTTCGGCGTTGTTTCCTGACACTGCGTGGATCGTTCAACCTTGAACGGCCGTTTCCGAAATGTTGGATCGTTCAACATCGACCGATTCTGTGCCCCCAGCGGTGTTCGACATTGAACGCCAGCGGCGGGGTCGCCGCCAGTCGACACGACGCGCACCTGCCGTACGCGCCCAACCACGCGCAGGAACACGGCCCCCCCAACCGCGAGGCCAGCCTCGCGACCCGAGCGCTCGCGCTAGGCGCACCCTCGAGACCGGCGTCGGCACGGGCACGTGTGCGTCCCTCGTTCGCTCCTGAACGCTGGCGTCCTCAACCCGGCAAGGCGGTGGCGGGGTGATGGGCAGAGGCCGGCAGGTGCCGGACATCCGGCGCTTGTCTTTGCTCGATGCGTGAGCCTGCTTTTTTTGCCTTCAGCAAGTTTACTCGCAGGGACGGGGGGGGGGCTGAACCTGAAGCAGGCCGCAAGCGACATGCACGTGCGGAGATCACGCAGGTCGGGAGGCACCAGTTTTCGTTCGAAGAGGGGCAATGGGAGGGGGGGAGGGCGAACGCCATGCAAATAACCTTGCCAAAATCTGAGAAAAAAAAACAGGCTCCGTGGGGTCGGGACCGCTCGACCCCTGGCTCAAGAGGCGGCCTCCCATCCCGAAGCGCTTCTCGACAGCCCCGAAGTCCCAAGCTGGCCCCTGGAGCCCAAGATGGAAGCAAGCGGACCGCCTCGAGGTGTTCGAGGCGCCGGACGTCTTGGAGGGGGGCCAGGGCAATCGACAGGCCAGCAGATCCTCTCCTGGCCACCCTGACATTGTTAGGTCACCGCACTTGAACCCTGCCCCTGCAGGTCAGATTTCTGGAAAACCAGCCGGGGTTCAGAGCGTGAAGGATATCAACAGCCGAGTGAACCCCACAGCGAGTGTCCGGTACGTGCCCTGGCCTCGACTGGACCCTTAGGGGGTAGGGTCCGCACGATGTCGCAGAGCTGTAGATCTGGCCCGGGAAGGGCTCGCTCGGCCGCGCCGGTTGGGCTCTCGCCCTCCCAAGACCTCCGGAGACCGTCGCTTCGATCACCCCAACCGAACGCCTCCCCGACCTCCAACAGATAGGGCAAGTCAGAGGCGCCCAACCTCTGGGGGCCCTCGCCAGGCCCAGGGACCGTAACGAACTACTCAAGATGGAATGCCAGCCCTGGGGAGAAGCGGTCAGGACTTCCTGCGACACCCTGTCCAAAAATAAAGACGTCGGATTTCTGGGCCCGAACTCCTCCCCAGAGAACGCTCCGAACACCTCCCAGGACGCCCACGATCATCGGAACGCCCCCGCATGACCCTTGGGGGGCATCAGAACACATTCCAAAAGCTCCCGAGAACATCACGTAACCTCCCTGGACGCCTTCGACCATCACGCAACCTCCTGGAGCATCCAGGCGCTCCTGGGTACATTCGAAAGGTGCCCCAGGACCGTCCAGGACATCTGCACGTCCCCAGCGAAGACTCTGAACAGCTCCCGAGCCAGCCAAGGCGGCCAGCAACGCCGACACGAGGAAAACGAGGCCGAGGGCGACGAGGACCGCGAGGACGACGAGGACGACGAGGGCCAGGACGACGAGAACGACGAGGACGACCACTGCGACGACGAAGTAGACGACGAGGACGAGGGCGACGACGATGACGACGGCGGCGGCAGCGACGTCTGGCCTTGCGCGGGGACCCACCTGGGCGCTCTTTGGCGCGCGCCTCGGCGGGCCCGGGCTGGGCGGACACGAGCTGGAGCGGGTCCTGGGGGTTCGGACTCGGCTTCTCATGCAAGGGGATGGAGCTGCTCGCGGGCGGGGACCGCATCCATATCCACGACCTCGCAAGCCAGATCCCTACGCGACCCCATGGGTATGGGGTCGTGCAGAAATCCGTGCTTCTGCACATCCTCGGGATCGCGCCCCGGAATCCAGACCGCGAGTGCGTGGATATGGATATGGCCGCGGCTCGTAAGATGCAAGACGAAAATGCCAGACATCCAGCGTCTCGAACAAAAACAAGGGGCACGGTTTTGTGGCATTTGTTTGGCGTCTGGGGGCCCGTTTCGGGCTTCGGGACCGTGAGAAAATGGGTCGGGATGACAAGCTGGCTCCGAGGGAGGGGTCGAGGGGGCTTACGCATCTGTAACAGGGATGGGTCTTTAATGAAAACAATTTCTAATGGAAATTATAACGGATTGGGACCGAAAACAATACTCGGAAAATAGTTGCCCCTCGCGCCGGCCACTGCTGAGGCAACCGCCGGTTTCATCGTCGACGCCGCTAACGAGGGGAATGACGAGGAGGTGGAAGACGAGGGGGAGGGCGAGGAGGGGAGTACGAGGGGGAGGAGGGAGAGGAGGGAGAGCGAGAAGGAGGGCGAGATGGGGAAGGACGAGGAGGGGGAGGATGAGCTTGATTCCCGGGCGAGGGCTTTGGGGCGGGGGGGGGGTGCAGCATTAAAGACCCTCTGCGGTTACAGTGTTGGCGCGGCCGCAAGAAACCCTCGAAAGAAACCCAACCCTGAGAACCCGTGCGCGAGGTGCACCTGAGGGGACACCTGGAGCACCCTGAACGCAGCAGCTCCTTCAACGGCTGCGGAAGTCACCGCGCAGCGCGAGGAGCGAGGAAACCCAGGATACCCTGACGAAAAGCAAATGGTTTCTTGATGCGCGTCCGCACTGTAGTGAGTGGGCAAAATCAGATGAAGGAAGACATTCTTACGCGGTGGCTTGCGCGAGCCGCCCGCGTGGAGCACACCGCGCGGAGACGAGGGCATTCGACTCGTCGCCCCTCGTGATCGGCTCCGAAACCCTGAGCCCAACGTCGTCTCCCGGCGGCGAGCGAGTGAAGGGTCCTGGCTCCGAAGAGGCCCCGCGGGGGGGCATGACGCCGAAAAAGCAGCGCTGGCGTCATCCTGCGATGAATCGCTCGAAAAACTCTGCGTGTTCCGCCCACTCATTGCGCTCACCGGCTGCGCAGGCCCGTTGCCGCAACCCCGCCTGTGTCGCATAGCGTGGTAGTGTCGCCGCGTCGGCGGCGAGTGAGGGGGGGAGTGAGAGTGGGAAGGCCTTCTCAGAAGGCGGTGGGACTTCTCGGAAGGCCTCTGGCCTTCTGACAAGTGTTGGCTATCTTCGGGGGGGGGGTAGGAAACGGCTGAGGAGGCCGGGGGGGCACTTCCGAGCCTTCCGAGAACGCCCGCCCCCTCTCTCTTCCCCCCTGGGCGCGCCGCCAAAGCTCTTTGGGGCACACTCTCAGAGTAAGTGGGCCGAGCAGTCCTTAGGAGGAGGAGGAGGAGGAGGAGGAGGAGGAGGAGGAGGAGGAGGAGGAGGAGGAGGAGGACTGGGTGCATGGCCGAAGTGGAATTCCGCGGCGCGGATTCGGCTTGAATGCTCTTCCCTGAACCGTTCTGATAAATGGACCCCCTATATCCGCTTCGGTACTCGGGCCTCGGCGCCAGCTGCTTAGCTTGAAACATGCGTTCAAGGAGTTTCGGGCTAACGCCCACAATGGCCCCCTCCCAGACAAAAAAACACAACAACACCACCACCACCAACAACAACAACAACAACAGCTGCAGCAGCAGCAACAACAACACCACCACCACCACCACCAACAGCAACAACAACAACAACAACAACAACAGCAACAGCAACAGCAACAGCAACAACAACAACAACAACAATCATTTAAGACTGGGGACACTCCGCTCTCACCAGTGCCAGGGTTTTCATAGGAGGCGGGCAATACCCCCACTTTGTGGGGGGGCCGGTTCAAGCTCTACCAAGTTTCCAAACGACTCTTCGCCACCACCCACACCCAGCTTCCCGCCCTATGACGTTCGGACACTTCACTTCGTGGCCTGCGGACGACCTTGGCTACTACACTGGCGCATGGGTACAGTGACTTGTTGTGGTAACATTTTGTGGAAGCTAGCTTAGTATACGACTTTTCCCCCTGTTCCAACACTGGACACCTGTACCGTTTTCCGACGTTTTTCCGTTTCTGTACCACACAAGCGAAGACACTTATTTTGAGTGGTACCACGTGCGTGGCGCCAGCATACCACAGGACTTGTTTCCGTTGTTGTGAGACGATACATGCTCATTCTTGTTCTGTGGTTGTCGTTCCGGCCTCAATGTGCAATACTGGCTCATTCGTCTACGAAATACACGTGACTAGCTCTCTCTGGTTGGAGGTCCTGATGGTTGTGGTTGTCCCGATGGTTGTCGCGATGATTGTCCCGATGATTGTCCCGATTGTTGTTCCGATGGTTCTCCCGATGGTTGTCCCGATGGTTGTCCCGATCGTTGTCCCGATGGTTGTCCCGATGGTTGTCCCGATGGTTGTCCCGATGGTTGTCCCGATGGCGCGCGAAGAAAAAACGAATGTGTCCCACATTGTATTATTTGACAGGGATGATGGCCCTGGCAGGCGCGCAACCTTTGTTGCAGAAGTTCGAAGCACGTGAAAAAGTTGCTCGCAAGAGCCCGTTTGACAGAAATGTTGAAAAAGTATTGGGTTTCCTAAGAAATCCGCAAGAGCGCGCGGGGTGAATTTTTGAAACCCTTTTTTTGAAAAACCATTGGGTTTTTTCATGTTTTTATGTGAAAATCGCTACGAAGACTAAGGTTTTGGAAGGATTTCGTCTTGCGCGCGCGAATGTGCACTTCGTGTCATTTTTTGCAAGGGATTCTTGAAATTTGGTTATGTTAGAACAAGAGATTTCATTTTATAGTGTTTTTTGCAAGGGAAAGCGGATTACAACAAAACAACCGGATCCTGTACACACCCTCTTTTCTGAGGCTTCCTCACGAAAATGATGAAAATGTGGCTGCGGCCTAGGCGGCGCAGGGGGGGCGCGCACCAGGGGGCCCAACAATAATTATTCTTTAGAATAAATAATGTTCAACAACAACATCATCAACAACAACAACAGTAACAGCAGCAGCAACAACAACAGCCACAACAACAACAGTAATTCTAAGACTGCTCGCTCTTACTTGCCCGCGTGTCATTCAAAACGAGTTCGCCACACCCTCGATACCTGCCTTTTTTGTCTTCGATCACCCCCCCCTTGGGGGGATTATTTCTCTTTGCGGGGGGGCGGCGGGCTTAGACAGGCGGGCAAACCTAGGAAAGAGAAGGAGAGAGAGAGAAGGAGAGAGAGGGGGGGGAGAGAGAGAGAGAGAGAGATAGAGAGAGAAAATAAAGAAATAAAGAAATAAAGAAAGAAAGAAAGAAAGAAAGAGGGAGGAGGCAGGAGAGGGGAGGGAGAAGAGAGGAGGGAGAGGAGGGAGCGGGGATAGGGCAGAGACAGAGAGGCATAAGGATGAAGGAAGAGAGGAGGGAGAGAGAAGGGAGGAGAGGAGGGAGGAGGGAGAGGGAGGCGGAGCAGGAAGGTAAGAGCGTGAACGTTCGAGGAAGTCCTAGGCAAAAGCGCCGTTCCTGAAGGAAGTCTCGGGCGGGAGCCCACGAGGGGCGGGCGGTCCCCTGACGGGCGGGTCGGGCGGGTGGGACATTCAAGGGGGATGCCTGAGTATGGCGAGAGCGCGACTACTAAGTAAATTGTAACGGCGTCCTTAGCGCAGCGTGTTTCCTGAGCGTCGAAAGCGCGATGTCTGAATACATTGCATGGAAGTCACAGGCGAGAGCGCAATTCCTGAATCACATGTGAAGAGCTCTCTGGCGGGATCGGGGGTCTTTATCAAATTGCGATGAAGTCTTGATTCAATTGCGAGGAAGTCTCCAGCGGGAGCGCCGTTCCTGAGTAAATTATGCGGAAGTCTCAGATGGGAACGGGTTCCTGACTAATTTGCGAGGAAGTCACAAGCGGGTGCACCAATCCTGCGAAAAAAATGTGAGGAAGTCGCATGGGCGGGGGTCCTGAGTAAATTTGGGGGAAGTTTCAGGCGGGAGCTGTTGTTGTTGTAATCCGGGGGGCCAGGGACACAGTTTCAGCACCAAGACTTTCCCTGTCAAAAAACAGGGTGAGAGCGTCGAGGGGAACACTTTGATGGAGAAAAAACCGTATGCACCGGTGAGGGGGGATCAACAATAGTTATTCCTCAGAAATGAGAACTCAACAGCAACAACAACAACAACAAACACCGCAACACGACCAACAACAGCAGCAACAGCAACAACAGCACCACGAACAACAACAACGACACAGAAACACCAATAGCAAAATACACAAACAACATGAGCACCAACAGCAACATCAACCACGCCAACAACACCACCACCAACAACAACAACAACAGCATCAACAACGACAACAGCAACAACAACCACAACAACCACAACCACAACCACAACCACAACAAACACAACATTTAGCTTAAGACTGTTCGCTCTTTCTTGCACGCGTGCCGTTACAAACGTGTACTCCAAACCCTTGCTACCTCCCCCCCCCATAGTCATCGATCGTATCCCCCTGGGGGTTCATCTTCCTTACCTACCGCGTGTAAGTAATGCACCCCCTCTGGCAAAGAAAAAACAAACTCGGATAAATCAGATGAGCAAGTCCTACCTCTACCGTGCAGAAAAGACCTGGCAAAGCCCACGGGGTCCTCACCTCAGAGGCCTCCCCGTGGTCGGGTGCTGGCCCTTCGGCAGACGATTCAGTGTGCCCTGTGCAGTGAGTGGCTTGTTGACCCTTGCGCCCGCTCCTGCTGAAACCCTGCCCACGCCGCTGAGCGTAGCAGGCACGTACTCTGCAAAAGGCACAGCCTGCTCGGGCTACACGCTGGTGCTTGCTGC